ATCCCCGTTCCCCCTCCATCTTCTGGGGCCTTCCGCGTCACCATAGCAACGGGAAAAGGAGCTGAGCCCCAGCACCCCCCCAGCGAGGCCCACCCTGAGGTGGGCGCAGGCCAGAGGACCCCAGCCCTGGCACCGGCTGTGCAGCCCCACCATGGCAGGGCCTGAGTGTGTGCACGAGGGCGTGAACACGCGTGTGTGTGCGTGTCCGTGTGTGTGTCCGTGTGCGTGCACCCGTGTGTGTGTGTCCATGTGCATGCACACGCTTGTGTGTGCCTATATGTGCAGGCACCGGGGGGGGGGGTGCGCACACGTGTGAGCGTGCTAGCGTGGTTTTGCGTGGGTATGGGTGTGCAGGCATGTGTGGGTGCGCATATGTGTGCCTGCGCACACGTGTGCCTGTGCACGTATGGGGGGGGACACCTGCAGCTTTTCTGGCAGCAGGCAGAGGGGCTGCAAGAAGGACTTTGCTGCCGGGGCGGGGGGGAGCTCCCGTGGGACGTGGGCTCAGGCCGCAGGTCTGCACCCACCCTGCATCCCCCACGGGTGGGTGCCAGGATGAGCTCCCAGCCCCCTCCTCCTCCAGACCCCGTCCCTGCGGGGCGATGCTGTGGGGAGGGGAGGCAGACCAAGCCTGAAGACGGGATCCATTTGCCCAGTGCATTTACGCCCAGAGCCCAGGACTCATTCGCTGGAGGCTTCCCACACGCCTGCCCTCGTTTCGGGGCAGCCGTGGTGATGCCTTGGATGCTCTTCTGCTCTTCCCCATGTCCAGATGGACACTGGCTTTTGAAGCCCTGCCAGTCTCCTGTTGCGTGATACGTATGACCATCCCCGTCGCTGGGTCTGGATCTGCTTGGCAACAGCTAATTTTACTATCGAGTCAAATTCCTCTTTTATTTGCTCTCGGTGGCAGCAAGCCTTTTCATCACAGATGCTATTTGGGCAACGCAGAGTGACAGAGGTAGTAAATCATATCACCGCTGTCTCCTTGTCCAGTAAACACCGCCATAAATTCCTTAATTGTTTGGTTGTTTTTTTTTTTTGTATGGGGAATTACAGACAAACTCTGCAGACAAAGATCACCTGCCTTTGCCTCTGGCCTCAGACTTGGGGCCACCTCCAGCCAGCATTTGGCTCTTTCCAGCAGCACCATGCTGCATTGAGGAGCCCAAACGAGAATATATGTTCCTGCATCACCACTATCAAAGCTCTTCCCACCAGTCCATCTCATATTTTGCATCCATTTATCCCCCACTGGAGGGTTTGGGAGGTTAAGGTGAAGTCCTCAGAGCCACAGGGTCCCTCTGCTTTTCTGCCAGCTCACGGCCATCCCAGCTTCCTTGGTTGGTCTCAAAACACCTCCGAGTTCCCTTCAGGTTTTAACTATTAATATTTAACCTATTTTTTCCCAACATTTTGCCCTGTTCCTGGGGAAATCCCAGCCTTCCAAACTTCAGCCACCCGGTCCCAAACCCCAGGGACAGTGCGGGTGAGGCTGCCTTTATTGCCCTGGCAGCGATTTTGCTCGCCCCGTGAGAACCTGCTCTGGGAGATCTACGGACCACCTTACGCAACACCACTCCCACGCACGGCTCATCAACTTTCTGTGGAGTAAAACCTGGATTTCTGAAATCATGATGGCTCAGTTTTGCCCCCCTGGGGGGGGGGTTAGGAGCTGGGGGCATTGGGGTCCCCCTTTCCTGCCGCTGCCTGATAAGATCCTTCCTCTGCAAACAGTTTGCTGAGGCTGGGGGTGGGGGCGAGTTTGGCTTTTGCAGACCCTGGTGGGACAGATCCTCAGGGATGCTTGCAGGAAACCTTACACGAGTGCGTTAGTGCCATGCTGAGAGAGCCCGAGGCCGCGTCCAAAGTCTTGAGCGAAGCCCATCTGCACACGCAGAACATGGGGGGAGAGGCTGGGCAAAAGCTAATTATGCCGGAGGGGTAATTGCACGCACGCTGCCGGCGGGGAGGAAAGAGGAGGCAAAGTTCTCAGGGTCGGCGGTGTTGGCAGCGGGGTCGGGGAGGCTGCGGGGGTCTGGGGGCTGCTGGGAGAGGGAGCCCGGGAAGAGAGGGGCCGGGGAAGGTTTGGGGTTAGAGGTTGGCTTCACACAAAGGAGCAAGCGGCTGGAAGACGGTACGACGCTGAGAGCCAATCACCGTGGCAGCCCAGCGATAAAAGGGCTCGCGAGGCGGCCGTGGGAGCTCTCAGAAAACGACTCCGGCTCCCACAGCCCCGGCCTCTGCAGCGGGGAGAAAGGGAGCGAGAACACCCTTGCCATCGGGGGCGGCTGGACAGACCCACCGTTGGACAGACCTACCCTAACCGGGGTGAAACCCTCCTGCTCGGCATCGCCGTGAGGAGCCCAGGCATATGGTGAGCCTTCCGCTCGTGGAGAACAACAGGGCTGGGAGGCAGCGGGCGGCTCGGCGGGAGACAATGATGGTCCCCGAGATGCGGGGAGCGAGGGGGTTCGTCCACCCCGGGGATTGCTGCCGATTGCGGCGGTGGGAGAGCTGGGGGAGCAAGCAAGACCGAGCAGTGGGGAGGGAGAAGAGAGGCAGGGACCCGGGGAGAAAGGGATGGAGAGGAGGGAGGAATGCAAAGACAGGGAGAACCCCGGGGAGCAGCACCGCTGGCCAGGAGCCACCCAGCAAATGGGGGGTTCATCCCCCCCAACCTGCACAGCCCCCCGGGGAGGAGGTCCCACCCAGATACCCCGGGAACTTTTTTTGCTTTGGGAGGAGGCTCGGCCGAGGCGGTCGCGGGAAGCAGATTCAGGGTGGGGGGGGAAACACAAGGGGGTCTGTTCTCAGCCCTGGGTGGCCTCGCCGGGGTCAGGCAGGGGCAAGGAGACGCTGTCTGAGCTCCAGGAGCCTGTTGGGGAGCGATGCTGCTGAAGCGGGGGGGGGGGGGGGGGGGGACCCGCGGCCCCC